AAGAAGTGGCTTGAAGTTCTACGGGAGGTGGGCTCCATTACTAGTCCGCTAGGATGGTCAACCAGGAACTCCTAAGGCTAGATTATGGGTTCTGGGAGTAGGAGACTAAGACCTCACAAAAATGAGGTCAACATGGCGGAGGAGAAATTGAAGCGGAGCTGTAGTTTAAAGAAGAGTTGGAGTTGAGCGGTAGGTTTTTGAGGGACAGCATCGACGACATAACGAGTTAGGGGAGCTTGCCAATGATGGGAAGGGTTGAGGATGTTGAGTGAGGTCACTGATAACAAAGATAGAGAAGAGAGACATCCTCAGCCTTGAGAGTGAGGCATACACAATACCATTTTTTTACATTTGGAAGTCGGAAAATTTATCCTATTTTTGGAATACGAGAAAATAATGAGTTTGAGGTATTCATAATGCCTCGTATTTTTCTCTTGCAGTCCTAATACAAAGTGTTAAAAATAAATACATATTGATACATACCAAACTATCAGCTTAATGCACACACGTGTGTATGCTTTTGTCTTTTGGGTTTGGGTTGACCTAAAATTAGGAGATACTGATCCATTCATCATACTTAAATCCATTGGTTCATGAGGAATGACCCAAACTCGTTTAGCATCACAAAAACTCTACTCAGAAATTTAACAAACCAAGGCTACCATTACCCATCGCATGGACATTCAATTATATACGTATTCATGTAACAGGGAACATCTGCCCAGCACACAAGGGCCTCCATTCAACCAATGGATCAGCTGGGAAGTTCTTCATTTTCACTGCAGCTAGTCCAACGCACCCTCGAGGAAACTTTGGGATCCTTGCAGAAGTCCATTCATGATGATGTTAAGAACCTACACATCGATCTCCTCAGACAGTTCCATATGCAAGAGGTGAGAGTTCTTAATTAAACTGCTGTCACTTGGTTTATTTATTGGAAGGTTTACATACACACCACTTAGATCTTATGTATTTACATATTTAAAACCTAATCTTCATTTTTTACATATATGCCACTTTGCCTAAGCTCGAAAAGATGTATTTCACTTTTTAAAAGTTAAAATAGTGGTATTTTTGATGCGATATGAAAGATTTGGGTGGCATAAATGTAAAAAGTAAAGTTTTCATGTTAGATATATAAATATATAGAATTTGGGTGGTATGTCTTTAAATGCCCCTTATTTAGTCCCGGTATTACTCTTTCTTATTGTGGCCACCACCGCCGGATTATAATGCATGTGATTACACATGTTCATTTTTCTAGTAACCCGATTAGCTTTGTGATATTGCTTTTGTCAAGTAACTCATGTTCATGATTCTCATTTGTTGATGTTTTACTATAGTAATGTCACATACCCAACCATGTAAATTTTGAAAATTTTATATTGTTTAACTTAATTAGGAGAAATTATTGCGTCTTGAGTCTGGACGCAACCTGTGTCCGGACAACGGACGCAATACACTTTGGCGTGGAATTTTTTTAATTTTTTTCCTCCCCGGCGAAGATGAATCGCGTCCGTTGTCCGTTCCGGATGCAATAATTTTTCCTTAATTAGTGGCATCATAGGTGAAGCTAGCTGTGTTCCCAAATTTCTTATGTTCCATTTAGGATTCATTTGGGGCTTCTGTAACTTTCTGTAATAGTAGTTGTAGAATTATTGGAGAAAAACTAAAATTTTGTAATTTCTTTTTGGGAGTATTGTAGACTTAATTCTTTTTCAAATGCTGATTCCATAAGGAATTTTTAATCGCATTAAACAACAAAGGAGCATTTACATATATACCACCTAATTCATATGTTTTTACATATCTAACACCTAAATTTTACGATAATAAGGAATTTTTAATCGAATTAAACGACAAAGGATCATTTACATACATACCACCTAATTCATATGTTTTTACATATCTAACACCTAAATTTTACGATACCCATATCTTTCTCATCACATAAAAAATAACATCATTTTATATTTAAAAACATGATACACCCTTTCATGTATGGTACGTCAAAATTGAAATTTAGGCGGTAGACGTATAAATACATATGAATTGAGTGGTATTTATGCAAATGCATGGAATTTTTTTTATTGCATAGTCTTATATATTTTTGTAACATGGTTTCTTTTATTCCATCTATACAGATGGTAATGTCGAATTTGATAAATTCAGTTCTGGAAAAGCAAGATGAACTGATCAAGGAAGTGCAGACCTTAAGACGAGAAAATCAACAGCTTCGTCAATTGCTTTAAATGGATGAGTAATATGATGTTTCTATTTTTTCATATTGATCCCATATTTTCGGCAAAATTACGTTTTGATTTTTGTTTAATATTGCATTAGTTCTGTCGCAAATAAGTTACAGTGAGCATATTCAAAGGTTATAACCGCGTTATAACCCCTGTAACCTCCCTGTACCCTACCTATATATGAAAACAGAAGCGCAGAACTTACTAGAAAATACATGTAGGTTACAGGGAGATTACAGGGGCTACCCGCGTTATAGCCCGTGTAACCTTCCTGTAACCTATATATGAAAACAGAAGCGCAGAACTTACTAGAAGGTACATATAGGTTATAGGGAGATTACATGGGCTATAACGCGGTTATAACCTACAAATACCCTTCCTGTAACTTATTTTCAGGTTACAGGCGCACGCAGCTTTACGTGCGTCTTATGTACGCAATTTTTTTCCCAATATCGTGGGCTCTGATTGCCTGGATTCGGTTGTATTTATCTTCCTTATTTTATGAATTGTGAAATTTTCACAAGTACCATACAATTTTTGTATATTTATATATCTGACACCTAAACTTTTTTGTTTACATTTATAACACTTTGTGATATATTTGATGTGATATTAAAGATTTGTGTGTTATGCTTGTAAAAATGAAAGGTTAAGTGTTAGATATGTAAATACATGAGAGTTGAGTTATGTATGTAAATGCGGCTTTTTTAATTTCTATTTATTTGCATATCTATTACCTGGGCTTCAATTTTTATATATGTACGCCACTTATGCATGAAAACTGTGTATTTCTATTTTTTTAAAATAAAAATAGTGATAATTTTGATGTGATATGGAACGGTTTGGTGGTATAAATGTAAAAAGGTATAGGTGCATGTCCTAAAAAGTAAGGTATCTGTGTTGGATATGTCAATACATAGAATTTGAGTGGTTTGTATGATAAAAATGGATAAATGCATGTATTCATGGTTCATGCTTTTTAGGATCCCTATATGTGCTAAAAATTCGAGCTGTGGCCTGAGGGGATTTACAACCTTCAGAGGCTGCTTACTAACAGACAACGAAACACGTGATTATATTTATCTATATATATATACATACCGTGCTAGATTTGTAAATTTTCCTTAATGTTTAATTATATAATTTATAGTAATAATTTATGAAGTAAAAACTCTACATTTCAAAATTTTGCAGCATTCGCGAGCATACCACCCAATTCTCATGTATTTACATATCTAGCCCTTACGCTGTATCTTTTATATTTTTGACATCCAAATTTCTAAATGGTTAAATTCACATTTTTATCCATTTATAAAATGGCATATATGTAAAAATTAAAGTTTAAGCATAGATGAGACTTTAGGGCTGTCAATATGTTTTATAGCAATCTGTAAAATGCTTAATGATCATTAATCGACACATCGATATGATTGTCGATTCTGAATAGCATCACTTTGACATCAAAACTGAAGTTAATTTACCCATTTTACACTTATTCAATTTTCTCCAAAGTTGCCATCAGCACTCATCTATTTTTGAAGATGACTTGCACTTTATGATGATTTTATGGTTGTGGAAGAAGTTGGTTGATCTTTTAAAGGTTACAAGAGTTGAATACGCATTGCGAAGCCAGAACACGAAACAAACAAAGTTGCGGGACTGACGTAACTATGCCATGCTTGTTGTGTGTTTGGCGTAAACATGCGATGACTAGGTGTAGCTACACTAGTCTGCCGCATAGTTACGCCAAGCACGAGTATAGCTATGTTGTCGACAATCGAAAGCTTATTTTGATAACTTATTCAACAATGACAATTTTGATAAGAGCTATATAATGAGATGCGTTGGGTCACCCTATAGAAACTTGATGATACTTTGGAGGATTCTTTCAGCAAGAGTTGAAGTTTCTACGTCAAACCCTAGGGAGTTCTTCCTCCTTTTAGGGGGATAAATCCTTGGTCCATTTTTCTTTTTGAGTGTTAAGAGGAGCGTGTGAGAGGGAGAATGAGAGCAGTTGTGTGCGGGAGGTCGTGGAGAGCTTATCGTTGTACTATGAGGAGGACTTGTTGAGTTGCGATGGACAGTTGGATTGGTTGTAAATTTTTGTAATTTCGTGCAGCTGTATCTTCAATATTTTTTATGAAGTTGTCCATGTTTTTCACGCTTATGTGATGCAACTTTAATGTTTAAAGATGTAATTTGTATTATTAGCTATATAATATATATGATATGAGAGATCTACCTTAGTCTTATTAAGTTAAAATAATGATATTTTTTATTAACTTGAAAATTTTAAGTTGTATAAATATAAAAAGTAAAATTTAGATGTTAGATATGTAAATGCATAGTAATTTAATGGTATAATGATAAATGTAAAGGCCTCTATTTTAATTAAGAATGATTCTTAAATGTGGCATTTACATAAATGCCAACCCAATTCTTATGCATTTAAGATTGTAAACGCGAGAGCTCAGGCTTGGGTCGTGTTCGACTCATTCAAAATTATTCGTGTTTGAAATCAGAACGTGTTCGAAATTAGCTTGGGAACATTGTGTTCCTGTTCAACTCAATTTAAATATTCGTGTTCGTGTTTGACTCGAAATTTACTCGTTAAAATTAATTAAAAAAATAGATGTAGGGTGCTAGATTCAAGCATAAACATACTTTGTGCAGTAGAATGCGCAGAACCACATAACCACACAAAATGTTATAATTTAAACATAGACATAAATATATATAATATATTATTATATAAATAATATACATAATATCTCATTAGATAAATAGTATATCTATTTTTTTTTTGAGCTAAAATGAGTTGAATATGAGCGAACAAAGAGTTGTTTGTGTTCGACTCATTTATAATTAGAGCTTAAAAAAATTATTTATATTCCACTCATTTTCTTACGAACGGGCTGAACAAGAGCTGAAACAAGCTTTTTTTTGACAGCCCTGTTTGGTTTATCCATTCCTTCGAGGCCCGGCGTCCTTACAATCTCGCAGCTCATATATATATATTTTTTTTTGAGCTAAAACGAGTTGAATATGAGCGAACAAAAAGTTATTTATGTTCGACTCATTTATAATTTGAGCTTAAAAAAATTATTTGTATTCGACTCATTTTCTTAAGAACGAGCTGAACAAGAGCTGAAACGAGCTTTTTTTGACAGCCCTTACACATTTTACTTTCATATCCATAACACCTAAATCACTAAAGATATTTAAATCGCCTTATTTCGGGGTTTGGTTTATCCATTCCTTCGAGGCCCGGCGTCCTTACAATCTCGCAGCTCTGCTCAAGTTCTTCAATCTCAATCCATGGCGGCGCTTCTAACTCTCCCCATGGCTTCCCTATCTCTCCAGATCTGTTCCTTTCCCTCCCCTATGTCCTTCTCTCGCTCAGAAGCCTTTTCAGGGACCTCCGTTTCATTCCCTTCTCTCTTGGCTTCCTCGACGGCCTCCGTTCCTCCGCCAATCCATTTAGGTCAAGAAACTCAATCTCTATCTCTATCTCTTACCTAATTCTTCTTTACTTCTACTACACAGTCTGCACTTCTGTCTCGCAGCTCTGCTCGAGTTCTTCAATCTCCATCCATGGCGGCGCTTCTAACTATCCCCATGGCTTCCCTCTCTCTCCAGATCCGTTCCTTTTCCTCCCCTATATCCTTCTCTCGCTCCGAAGCCTTTTCAGGGACCTCCGTTTCATTCCCTTCTATCATTATTTACTTGAGAGGAGTGTATTATAAATTTTGCAATTTGGAATCTACACTCTGCAAGGCTTTAATCCAACTTGCTTCATCTTTCAATATGGCTATTGCAATTATTTCGTTATCATTATATTGATGCTCTATCAACAAATTTTTATCACCTAATATGAATCTCCATGTATTTTTTGAGCAATATGTATTCTAGATTCAAATTCAATATCATCTAAAGCGCGATTTCAACAAGTTTATAATCAAGATGATTGCCTCTATGATACCAAAATTGGTTCAATTTGAGTCCAGTCAAGCCCGAATCAAGCCATTAAAGCATTTTTGGAGGTTTTGGATCATTAATTGAATGATCAAATGAACTCTAAATTTGATATATTTATATTCAAATTAAGTGTCTTGACATGAGGAATTCGACGAGCTTAAGCTCGCTTAATTCTGAGGTCATTAAGACCCTCAAATATTAAAAAATCTTTTATAATCAAGGGGAACCAATATCAGTTGTTTGATTAGGTGGTTTGAGAAGTTATTCATGAAAGAATCAAAATATCTTTCACTTAGAGCCTATAAATAAACAATTTCTCTGCATTTGAAAAAGGAAGGAGAAGAGAAGGTATTTTAAAGCCTATTTTGGATTGAAAACCCGACGAAACTTCCAGCCTCCGTAGCTGTGGATCATCGTCGACCACCGTCCGTTGACCGTGATTGACCACTGTCGGCCGCCCCCTCCCCC